AGCTGTGCTAGCTGTGCTGTACTCCCAGCTTGTTATGCACCTGGGCGAGCAGGGGAAGCTCAAAAAGTCCTTGAGTAGTCTGAGCACTACTTGGCAACAGCTGAAAACATCAGTGTGTTATCAGTATTCTTCTGGTACTAAATCCAAAACACAGCACTATGCTAGCTACTATGAAGAAAATTAACTCTATCCCAGCCGAAACCAGGACAAAAACCTACATTGTGGATATATGCAGGATTTTGTACTTTTACCATCTACCTTGAAAATAAGATTTTTTAAAAAAAAATTTAAGGGACAAAAGCCCTTATGGAAAGCAGCAGTGCTAATGTTGTAAAGTTTCAAATTTGAGATATAAGTAATGTCATTTGACATCTTTTCTCAGAAAACGCAATAAATTCAGCCACCTTTGTAACTACAAATGTACATAGAAAAACAAGTTAACATTTTCTGGATCCTAATATTTCCTGGATTCTTATTTTGCTCATACAAACTCTTCAAACTGACATTTTCAAATTCCCACTAATCCAAGTGTCTCATGAGTGGCAGATAAGTTTTTATTTTGTGAGGTAGAAAGCATGTAGAAATTCTACTTAAAAATAGATAATTATAGCCAGTGAGTCTTACAGAAAAATATAGCCTGTAACACTTTACAATACAAACAAAAATTTATCCAATGTGTCTAACACTTTAATATGAAATATAATTACTATTTTGCCGTTTATTTTTGAAACAGTAGTTAACTTTTACCTAGCAGAAGTGATAATTATTGAAATACTAATACAAATATTTTGCTCTTATTTTTCTCCTCTTCAAAAGCTGTTCCTTAAAGAAAATACTGTGTTGTTTGCTGCAGAACAGTCTAATGCAAGTATTCTTCATATGCAATTCCTAGTACTTTGACCATATCTGTGACTTGTTAGAATAAAACTTGTGAGAAGAACATCATTAACTATAAAGAATGTAATCCTTGTGCTAGTTAATCTGATAAAAGATAACCAAAATAATGTATGTAAAAGAAGGGACCATATCTTCTTACAATGTGCTAAGTTTTCGGGAAACCAGATTTCTTTTAATCATGGGGAAGGGAACGGTCATTTACAGTAAAAAAAAAAACCCAACCAAACCCAAAAAACCACTGAAGACTGGTAAAAGAATGACTGCATTGAAGTGTGAGTTTAGGAACAATTGTCATCTATTAAAGCAGGAGACTGGCAGCCAGCCTTGCTAGCCCTGAAATATGTGCCTAGTATACGCACTGTCTTACATCGACCTGCATTATGGGTAGCCAGAAGAACTAGAAATTAGAATTAGAAATTAGTTAGTCTAATGAATGCTTTTACAATCTAAACAAAACAGAGTAATCTAGCATTACAGCAATTGCAACAATACGAAAACTCATTAAGTAATCCAAATCACACAGTTTCTGTTAAGGATCCTCACTGACACTACAGATCAATAGACAAAGACTTGTTTATGCCTCTTCCCTGGTGTGAAGTTCTCACCCTCCCAGTCACTCAGAGTCTGAAGTGAAGGGCCCTTTTTTCTTAGGTAGGATGATGCGATGATGTTGCCGTTACAATAGGTACAATAATATATATGTATCTCGTAGTTCCCCACGGATTCAGACAGAAGAGTGCACTGTCTTGAGTGTTGCTGCTTTTAGATACATGTGGTATGAATTTTGCAATAGAAAGTGTGTATAAATAGAGATTTTTTTTTTTAATGTCACCTTGGTTTTGTTTCTGTTTGTCGATAATTTGTCTAACCAAGGAAATCATAAGCAGGTTAAATTCCTCCAACATTTGTGTTTTTTAATGGTGACTCCTCCTACTCCCTGTATATGTGAGTAGCTGCAGAGGAGCAGATTCTCTACCAGCTCCTCTCTTCATTGCTTCTGGCAAATTACACGGGCTAACTAGTACCGAGGGCAAAAGACAGTTAAAGTACAGCTCCTATCCTAACATACAGTTCATTGAAGCCGTCCTTCTCTAGCACCATCTCGTGGACTTCAGCTGTACAGTAGTAACTTTCCATCCAAATTTTAGCACATCAGCAAGCTACAAAAAAGTTCTTAGCAGCTGAAAACAGGAAATTTCCAACTGATATAGGGCCTTGATCTCCTGTGTCTGGAATGACCGAAGGGGACAGCCAAGCAGGTCAAGGAAAGAAAACTTTCCCCTCTATTTGTATTTGCAAGACTGTTATCTGCAGTACTGCGTTCAGTTTTGGGCTTCCCGGCACATACCAGAGCAAGGCTGAGCAGAGGCACTGGGCTGATTAGGAGGATGGAGCGTCTGAGGAGGTGAGGGTAGGGCAGCAGGGTTTGTTTACCCTGGAGATGAAAAGGGTAACTCTTCACCTGGCTGAAGGGGGGTTGTAGAGAAGGTGGACACAAACTTCCCTTAAAAGGTGCACAGCAGAAGGGCAGTAGGCAGCAGTCATAAGTTGTAGCAAGGGAAATTTTGATTGCCTGTTAACCAAAAAAAAATAAATATAAGGTTTTGTAGGAATTGGAACAGGAGTTGTGATTATAAAGTGTCGATCTTTGGAGTTTTTCAAAATTCAACTGGACAAGGCTCTGTGCAACCTCATCTAATGATGAAGGTAAGCCTGCTTTGAGAAGGTGATTTGACAAAATGACATCCAGGGGTTCCTTCCAACATGAATTATATTGTGATTCTATGACTCAAAGGCAGCTTGAGTGCCTTAGAATTTACAGAATATCTAATCCAAAAAGCAGAAGTATTCAACGCAACCTACACAAACATACAGAACCACATGAAGGCAAACAAAATAAATCCTATTGATTTAATTCCAAAGCACAATATTTTCATGACTAGATGCAGGCTTGAGTGCAAGGGGGAATATACTCAGTGTCAGAAAAAATGTCATAGCAAGTGAAAGATTCCCTCTTGGTCTCCAGAAAACTCAAATCAAAACACATAGGCTATTTCAAAGCAGAAAACTGTACAAGGAGAACAAGGGCTCATTTGGAAAATAAAAAGTAATTGCAGCATGATTAACAGGTGACTTTAAAAGCTACTGTCATTTTATCTGATTGTTTCTGGTGTAGTTTTTCTTACAATAAGTTTTCTCAATATTCGAATGATCTCAGGAAATACAGTAAGCACATCTCATTGTATTGAAGTGTGGTCAGTTCTGTTCTGATCACCCCCCACCACAGCTGTTAAAAGTAATGACTAAGCTATAGTTTTACTGAAGAAATCAGAATGTACATTGGGTATTCTAATAATATTAAAAATTAAAAGATCTAATACACCTAGCTACAAGTGTTACCCAAATTCCACAAGTTATGCAAATTTGTATCAGAACAATTCATTCCTGTAATAAATAATTTTTTTTTTCATAGACACTGAAGATGTGTCTGACAGGTGTGATATTTTCTGTAGCATTAAGACTGTCCTGTTAGCCCGTACACCAGAAAACATTTGCATTGCTTTCTCATGAAAGTATTTGCAAAGAGGAAGCAACTGGATGTCCAGTATTCTAGTCAAGCTGTTGGTGTGGCAGGCTTCCAACCTAACTGTTGTCAATGTCAGTAACTGAAGTGATTAGCAGACTCTGATAAGAAAAACTAAAATGTTGTTTAATGTATCTTTGCTGTCAGTTTGTTGATAAATGGATTCTAAGGTGTTTTACAAAGACTGAAAAAAGGAGTGAGAAAGGCTAGAAAAGGGATTGGAAATGGAGAGCAAAATATGGAGGAACAGAACAGATGAGAACAGAAGGACATAGTACGGAGAGCAGAAAGATACACAAGAAAAAAATTAGATAAAAGGTATAAAATGGAAAGGGATAAAGAAAAAGTTTGAAAATTAAGCACAGAAAGAATAAAACTGGGTAAAAATCTGTAGTTCTCACATAGCTGAGCAGAGGATAGGGTCTTGAAATCTCTGTATGGGTCCCAAAGCCCTTTTATCACAGTACTGATGATTTCCCAAATGAGTGCAGATGACAGATCAAAGAAGCCATAAAGGTATGTTTAAACAAGTTCTTTTGCCTCTATGCTCACCTCTGGCCCCAGGTTATTCTATGGTTATACAGGGAGCTGCAAATAAGATAGACAAGCTGTAATGGTGCCCTGGGGTGTATGTGTAAGATAACAGCTATGTGCTCATACACAGCAGAAATTAAATCTATTGCCTGGTGCTTGAAGCTTTAGCTCCTCAGTAGATATTATTTTAACTGTCTAAGTGGCATATCAAATTACTTTTTTTTTTCCTGTATGAGAAGAAATGCAGAAAAAATAAAAATAGAATTTTTATTGTGGGGTGGGGTGCATCTGGGGTACTTACATTTTGGCTGTTTAGAAAGTCATATGTTCTTCACTATTCGCTGCAGCTTTACTACAGAATTTGCAGGATCTCTCAATCTGGTTTCAACTTAATTTTTTTTTTGACAGCCTAGAAAGACAGAAAGTAGTTAATTCATAAGCATGAGTTTGCTTTGTTTTCAGGCTGAGCTTCTATATATAAAGCTGTCATTTAGAAATAGGGGTTATATAATTAAAAGTTTTAGAAGACCCATACAGTCTGACATTTGCTGCTTCCTTTACTGGCAGCTCCACATGTTCTGTCTGAAATTAATTTAGTATCATCTTCATAATGACGTAATTCTCTTGAATAAGGTCATACAAAATACTAGACTATTAGCCATGCTAATATATTAGTATTAAAACTAATATTAACCACTATGATAGCTTAACTGCTAACATAAACAAATATGTTCTGTATTTACAAAGTTAGGCAATCTTTGCTAACAATCAAGCTTCATCCTTAAGATAAGCCTTAA